ACACTCTTTCTTCCTCCTCTTCTTTTGTGAATGTTGTCACTGCAGCTAGCAGAATTATGTGTGGCACTGGGATCGATAACACTGCTATCTCTCATCGATAGTTCTGAATAATAAATGTGTTAACTTAAAACATATTGCTGCATCAGCCTGTTTTCTATATTACCTTTGACCTTTTCCACTCCACCTTTTTGCTTCTTCTGTCCTTCTATCCATTCCATTTAGATTTTCAATTCAAACACCTTTTTGTGTCTTGATTTCATTTTGCACTTGACATTACATGGATGGATGGATCCACTTGAAGGGTTGGGTGGAGGTGACATCGGTCAGTACTAATACCTGCCTTACAGTACAGGTAGCCTGTTGGCAATTCTGGGATGGTGTGACCCCGAGTCAGAGCTGTTCCAACATCAGCCTGCAGGTCAAATATTTTCTCCACAATTTTCCCCCCACATTGGCATTCTGGCTGCCAGATTGCCAGTCTGGGCATGCACTCACACATCGATAGACGGAGTAACACTGCTATACAACAATCCAGGATTTGGTCCAAAGAGAATAGTGGGAGGTTAATGAAACAGTTCAAACCATTTGTGTGTGTGTCAGTTAGGAGGAGATGAAGGAAAGGAGGCAGCCTCAGCAGAAACACAAAGTCACAGGGAAGGACAGAGTGAAAGGCAGGCAGGGAAAAGCAACAGAGAGAATAAGAGAGATAGGTGGGAGATAGGTGGGAGAAAGGGGTTTGAGGGAATAAAATAAAGGCAGAAAGATAAGAGGAAAAAGGGGGGGGGAGGCAGAAAAAACATCTGGAATGTGGGGAATGCGGGAAGACCCAAGGGTATCTGGCCCTGCATGCAGAAATTGGCTGGTCAGTGAGCTATTGTAGTCTTGCAGGGGAGAGAAGGAACTGAGTGGCTCCAGAAGTACACAAACCGCTGAACCTTATCTCACCTCGGTCACAAAACCCAGTCCCACAACACCTACAATTCACTTCATGGCCTGTGTGCACTTTCATCTTATAAGGAACTTGGAGTAACTTCCCAGAGGAAGCTGGCATAAAGAGGCAAACTTCTGACCTTAAAAACAGTTGAGATATTTCTGTATTGTTGTGTGGATAAGGTAACACTGCTATCTCTCGTAACCCTCTGATTTAATAATTCATAAGCTCATTAGGCAAACCACGCTGAACTGCTGTTCACTTTATAGATAACCTTAATGTCCAGAGAACGAGTTTTAAAAATGTGAAGAGCAAAATAAAGTAGGCTTCCTCCCCTTTCTACTTCCAAGGTGTGAAAATCCAGCTGTGAAGAGACAGTGGTGGAATAGTGGTAGTGGTCTCTTGTTACAAGTAAAAATCCTGCATTCAAAATTATATTCAAGTAACAGTACAGAAATATTATCAGCAAAAGTACCAAAAAGTAAAACTACAATCACAACGCAATGGCTCCATTGTTATATTATGATATGCAGGTATATTACAATTATTATTACAGATGCAGAAAACTGTGTGTGTGCACTGTTACATTCAGGTACATTAACATTAGCTAAACATGAAGTTTTAATGGTTTCCCTGAAGAAAATAGACTGTTCCACTCCATTTCATACTTTGTTACTATGCTTTTTAGTAATATGTCCTACATGTCTGATGTGTTCTTCCGGGAGGATGATAAAAAAAACCATTGAAATGTGTTTAAGGTATGTGGTGCACCTTTTTAAAGCAGATTTTATTTTTAGATCTTATGTGAAAGAAGACAAAGCTCTTTGTTTGCATGATAATATTATATGCAATGGTGGAAGTAGTGACTGACATGTAGTGGAGTAGACTAATAAAGTTAGATCAAATGGAAATAGTAAATAAAAGCACCTCCAAACTGTACAGGACTTAATTATGAATGTACTTTACGTAGTTACTGTACTTTCCACCACTGGTGAGGGATGTGCTAAAAGCAGATTAATAAAGTCAGATTTCCAGATCGTCAGCCGGGGTCATGTAACAAAACACTGCACAGTGTACACACAGCTGGCAGAGCAGAATGCGAGGGCGACGGTGTATGAAAGACCTGGCTCAGGCTGATGTTTTTGCTGGCTTTGCTTCTCAGGTCTGACACACACACATACACACACACAAAAGAGCTGTTAGTGAGCCGAGGCGCCGCCATCTGCAGCCGTCATTAGGACGGGCTTGAATGCAGATTCATGGGTGAAGCTATTCAACAACCTGGCTGCAATAAAGATGAGAAAGATAAACGGGGTTAAGACGCATATTAATCTTTTCTTTTATTTGGATAAGCAGCTTGGGGTGCATGTGTGGAGAAAGAGAAAAAACAAGTGTGCTTTTGCCTGCGGCCTCTTATGTTTATGCGTGAGATAAAGACAGACAGTAATTCTGGAAGCAAAAGAGGCAGAGCGGCTTGAGTAAGAGACTGTCAGGCCTAAGATGATGCTAAACCCCTTGTTGCTTTTTATAATCTTCTTGAACTTTGGCAGCGTCATTAGAAGATAATGCAGGATAATACCAGAGATCCCCATCGATTTGCCATGCCTGCCAGATGAGCCTGATATCGACCCAAGAACAAGGTTATGATGAGCAGTCTTTTCATGCCTTCTAATTTATCCGCTCATCTCAAAACTAAGTTATATTACAGGAATCAGGACAAATCTGGAGTATAAATAGTGTGCTTTTCATTGGTTAGTATGAGAAAGTTCTGTAAGAAAGATGCTTGGATATGCTTATGTAAGCTTCATGGACACTGCACTTGGAGTGCACAAGTGCATGCTGGTCCTCTGAGACTAAGCATTTCAGGGCTCAGGATAATGTCAGTGATTGTTGGAGTGCCGCTTCAAGTGGCTCTAACAAATCTGTCACTGCTGCACGGCAACAGAGGAGAGCTGGAGGTCATTTTTAGCTGTGAGTTTAAGAGAAACTCCCTGTTAAGCAGCCCTAATGAGCGCTGTCCTTCGAACTCACAGAGCTGAGCGAGAACATCACTCAGCCAGCCAGAACAGAGGAAGAGGATGTAAAAGAGATGCTATATTCAGTATGACTGATTGTCGACGGAAAACAGAGCTCAGCAGTGTGGCTTCTTCCGGTGTTTCTGAATAATAATGAAACGAGTTGCATATCAAAGGAGACGAGACGAGAGGAGTGGGAGAGCGAGGCAGACAGAGAGAGAGAGAGAGAGAGAGAGAGAGAGGGGGGGGGGGGCTGTGTTTCTACGGGAGACAGTGCTGTGAAGCAATGAAACCGTCCATTGATAAGAGCGGACTCTCATTTTCAGCTCATCGGGTGAACTGAAGGTCTCTGAGGTTAGACAGTACAACAGTAGGCGTATTCACAAATTGTTTGCTGCCAAAACAGAATCTCTCTTTCTCCTTCCCCTTTCGCCCTCTTCCCTCCCTTCTCTTACCTTTGATCCCTCTCCCTTTCTGTCTCCTCCTCCCTCTCCCTCTCTTCCTCCTACTCTTTTTCATTGTGCCGCTGAGGGATTTGCCCTTGGTGACCTGCTCGGTTGCTTGAACTATATGCAGCAGATTTGGGATATAAAAAAATGCAAAATTGTTCTCGTTTTGTTGATATATTGGCAGTGGAAAAAATATTTTACCTAATCCAAAGAGATTTGGAAATGGATCTCCTCAGCAAGGTCAGAGAGGCTCAGATTATTCTCAGGCTGAAGGAATAGCAGCTTTAAGGAAACCTGAATGTCTTGCTTACAGAGGAACACGATGATATCAAGACAGGACACATTTGAACGGTGAAGAGAAAACAAGTCGTTTTTGCATTCACTTTGAATGTTCAGGACAGAGTAACAATCCGGTCGATACAATCATTCCGCACAAATAGATGTGTGGAACTGAGGAATACTGCCCTTGGCTAGATCAGTTGGTTTTGGTTTTAGCACTTAATCATTTCAAGTGGTAGGCCTTCTGGTTGCCCCAGGTTTTAAATTTCGATCAGTATCTTGAATAGGTTTGAAAACCTTCAAGGTTTTTTCATTCTATTAAGATTGAAAGCAGCATAGGTTTGTGCTTTCATAACAGCCTCTGTCAGGATCGCTGTAGAAAAGGATTTTTCAAGTGTACAGTATCTATCTATCTATCTATCTATCTATCTATCTATCTATCTATCTATCTATCTATCTATCTATCTATCTATCTATCTATCTATTCTGCTGACTAGTTTGGTCGATGAGAAACACCACACAGCTAACTATAGCTAACTATTAATAATAAACATAATTAAAGGTAAAAAGTTCAACATTTTGGGAAGTATGATTTGCTTTCTTGCCAAGCGTTCAATAGGAAACTCTTATATGCATTCAATGGAACCAGGAGACTGTTGGCTTAGCTCAGCATAAAGACTAGAAATTGGATATTTCTTGGCTGGTAACCTGCCAGTAACTTCCTGGAGTCTCTGCTTGTTGCCTGGCAAACTGCAGATTAAGTTGCTTTTACCATGAAGTTTTTAGTACAAACTACATTTAAAGTTATATTTAATGACCTTTAGAGGCGCTGATACCGTAGGTTTATTTCCTTTGACCAGTCAGGCTAGCTGTTTTCTGGTTTCTACTCTTTATGCTAAGCTAAGCTCATCATCTGGTGGCTATTTATTTACCGTACAGAAATGAAAGCGGTATCAATCATTTCATTTAACTCTTGGCAAGAAAGCAAATAAATGCGTTTCTCAAAATGCTTTATGCTTAACTTCTTTAAGGAATGTCTTATGAGTGCTAACATATATCAATAAACATTAATTAACATCTGGATTACAATTTAAAATGTTCTAACTTTATAGATAGACTTTATAACGACGCCCTCTAGGTGTAGTATAAAAAAGTCACTGTGGCAATCAGCAATGCACACCGCCTCCCCCACAATGTCTCATAAACAAAAACATCTGCCATCAGTATAATTTAAAGGAGAGTTTAATAACATAAAAAATGATACACATACTGGCTTTACTGAACCAAAATAAACTGTACACAAATAACCACTCCAACAAAGCCAGATAACGGATCCAAACAAGGGTTTCCTTTAATGATCATTTGTCTTGTAAAGAATATAATACAGTGACAGGACTGGAATTCATAAGAACATACATCAATAAATATGAATAAATACTTGTGGACAAGATTCACACAGCCGTAGACGGACACAGTTGCAGTTATATGCGTTCACAGTCGACATGAACACATAGCTCCCTGCAGACTGAAGTGACGTGCAGGGAACAGAGCCAAAGAAGTGACATTTTGTCTGTATGGTAAACTATCACCTCACTTACGGCTCTTGCAGAGCGTGTGTTGTCTGGTGCGTCTCTGTCTTTCTGATGCAGCAGTGTGTGTGAATAGAAGTGGGAAATTGAAAGAGGGAAATGGGTTTTGGATCCACTGAGGCTGTGTGAATATGGTCCAGAAAGGCTAAGCAACAAACACACCCAGAGTTTAAATGGATTTTTGAAAAAGGAAAAGAAAAACCTCAGAGTATTTACATCACAGAGGAGTGTTTGTCATTGGTTTCTGTTCTGCATTTGTCACTTTCATTTCTCATTCTCTCACTGTAACATGTTTCCATCCATCCCAACAGAATACAGCCGCTTTCTTGACAATGATAAATAGTCTTAACTCAATATCAGACAGAAACGCAATGCCATAGAAATACCACTAGGGGTGTACCTGTACATTAGATACTGAACAGTGAAGGAGTGATGCAGCAGTCCACTGGAAGAAAATAGTTTTTAAAAGTCTGATGAAATCCAAATAACAAAAGAAAGAAAAGATAATGATGCAAATTATGCAGAAATTTGAGTAGAACCAATTACGTGGGAGAGTACACAACTTGCTTGTTCACAGAGACACAAAGGAGTGCAGTGAGCTATGACAGTCTGTTTTCCTGTCATTTAGAAAACATCCAGTGGTCAGTCGACGCTATCGTGCCGTCAATGCCATCGACAGACTTAATAGGAACCCAAGACAGACAGCCTAATCATGAAATCAATAGTCTGTCTGTGTGTGGCTGAGGACAACAGGCTCTACTGCTCTTCTCACGCTGCCATCGCTGACGACTGCTGCGTCTAAAATGCATCCGTTTACAGTCACAGACAGTGGTTACAGTGCAATGCTCAGTTTTCTTCACACTGTTTGCTATTAGGCCCGCACTATAAATCTTGACAATAAATGAAGAGGGTGAAGTGTTAAAGCAAACTCATCAAATATATTTCTAAAACTTTGCTGTCCTCCTGAAACATCACAAGCAGCTATTGTATCATTACTTGATGGATTCAGAACTGACCTTTGCAGTATTTTGACAGCTGGTCCTAGATGATATATCAGAGTTTATATCGGAGTTTTAATGTTAGTGGCTCTGTCCTGCTATATTGGATTAGAGAAAGTTTATGTGTTACATTCACAGACATTTCTCTTGTAATGTTAAAACTGAAACAATAAACGATAAAGCATAAATGTAACTTCTGTATTGCTTGTCCAAGTCTGTAAGAGAGCCTGATCTTACATCTTTCCTTATACTTAATAATACTAGGGTTAAGAGCATTGCAGGTATTTATCTCCACGTCTTCTTCAACTTCTGAGGGTACTAACCTTTTGCCTGAGACATGTAGCTTTAGCCTCAGTCTTTGAGTATAATATCATGTATTTATTAATACTCTTAAATGGCTCTTGTTTTTAAAATGAGTCTGGAAGCTTCTGAGAGTGAGGAGAGGAGTTTCTAATCAACTCATGGTCCTAATGTTAGCTTAATTAGCCAGCTAGCTAATCAGTTGCAAGTAGCAACAGTTACTAAGGGGGTGGGACTTATGAACTGTCAATGGCTCCTTGTTATTTAATATTAAATGCCTAAATTGCAGGTATATTAACTTTATTTGCTTGTTTTTGTTGTTGTTCTATTATATTTAATTTCATGCTTGGATATAAGGTGAGAGTTCTTTAATCCCCTTTAAGTTTTTGTTTCTCTCACCCTGACAATTTTTATTTGTTGTGCCTGGTTGTGTTGTGTTTTTTTTTGAGGTGAAAAGAAAATTATATCCATGTTTCTGAATTCTGCTGCAACCACCTGCCGTCGCCTTTGAGACACAAGCACACCCAGAGTCAATTTCCTCTGCCTTGTTTGTATCACTCCTGTCACACTGATTCAACCAGACACACTTCCTCACAACATATACAACAAATCTAACCAAGTTGTGCTCCTGCTGTTACCGTTTAGAAAGAGTGCAAACAAACAGTCACAGCTGGGGCGCCCCGGTAGCTCGCTTGGTAGGGCGTGTAAGGCTTGAGTCCTTGCCCCAGCAGCCAGGGTTCAGGTCCGGCCCGGACCCTTTGCCTCATGTCACCCCCCCTTCTCCTCTCCTTCTACTGTCACTGTCAAATAAGGCAAAATGACAAACCCCTCCAAAAAAAACAGCTACAAGCACACAGAGATGTAGTCGCACTCCCCACAATCCCACTCTTATCTAATCTCTGCCGAATTCAAAAGGCTTCAGCTGCGAGCTGCGACTGAGGGGAATGACTTGCTCACAATTAGGACATGTGGCTGAGACTGAGAAGAGGCCTGCTGGCTGTGAAGATGTTCACTGGTTTGCCCGCTGCTCTCCCCTCAGGCGTGGTGCTCACTGCTGCGTCAAGAGACAGCTGGCAGCAACCTCTGTTAAGTCAGTCATCTTCATAATTAAGACTCACAATTATAAGGATTCGTCTCTGTCTGTCTGCCTGCCCCTCAGGGCTTCCAGTAGAAAGACCAATGAGGGGAGGACAGGGCTGTTGGGGGGGGAGTCAAAAGCAAAGAGAGACAGACACTTCTGAGAGTGAGGGTCTGTGTTTGAAATTTGAAGAGGAAAATGTGAAGAAGAATGCGTGTGGATGAATTCAATAACTAAAAGCGTTATTGTGGGAGTGTCGTTGTGAGATAGCTTGGCACCTTCAAAAAACACAGAGCAAAAACTTACCAATCCCAGAGGAAGTGCCAAAAGCAAGCTGTCCCCCTTACAGAGGCAACAAACACATATCACACACACACACACACACACACACACACACACACATAGCCCAGGGGGTGACCATCACCATCACAAACACATCTTTTATGTTGTGTCTATTATATTTCAACCGCTTGGTGAAAGAAGTCTGCTCAAACTTCTCAAACTTTATGAGTGGAAAATCCATTCATACCAACTCAATAAGGATAGAAGATTAACATCGGTGGTATTTTTGTGGCAGACCTAATAATCTCTGCAGAGGCAAAGAAAAAGACAGACAAAACATTAGATTAAACATCACTTCAACGGATGATTTCCTTCCAACCTCAACATAGACTGATTCACTGTATGTAATTTAACTCGCTAGTTGTAGTCATTAATTAAATTTTGGCCAAACTCTTCACGCTCCCTGTTTTCTAGCCCACATTCAGTTCCTCACTTCATCACATTAGTTTTTAAGAAAGTTTCCAACTCCTGTCACACAGCTGAACCTTTACATAACTGTAATTACTGTGAGAGGGGCTTCTGTCTGCCCTTTCATTCATCCACTGGTGCTCAATCCATTTTCACAGACAGAAAAAAAATAGGCCTGTTGCAGCCTGACATCTAAGAAACGACAGGGGTTTGATGGCTGTGACAGTTCTGTGGGCCTCCCGTCCATCACCCTAAACCTTCCACTGAATGTCCGTCAACCTAACCCTTCCCTTGTCATCACTGCTCCGTGGTTCTGCAGATAATGCAACTTGTTAATTAGGCATGCAGCAGATTAATTAAACTGATAGAGAGGTGCAGGTTCACCATTCTTCTCCGTGCGGAGGAGTGCTGTCATTGCCAAGGTGAGAAGAGACAAACAAAGGCAGGGAATTAATGTGCACAGGATAGATTTTCTCCCCTCATGTGACTTTATATAAGCTGATCCTGCTTTAGTGTTCTTTTTATAAGACGTGCTCAAGGCGTAGTGTACTCGTTCACCAATGAAGAGCTGGTTAGAATGAACTTAGGTGTGCTGTTCCTCCACTAGTTTTCTATTGTAAAAAGACTGTGACAGTGAGAAAGATAAATGAAAAGTACTAAAGTGCGAGGTGATGGAGGAAAAAGCAGAACAAGATGGAAAAACATAAAGGATAAAAGTGCTGGAGTCGGTGTTTGGGACATAATCCCAGAAATTCCGAACCTCAAATGCTGGCTTTAAAAAACACCAATTTAACCCGACAGTAAAAGGGAAGGAAAAGAGAGCAAAGAGCTTGTTCTATCTGCCTCAATCCTCCTCTTTAAAGCGGGACACGAGGCAGGAGCGAGCACAGGTGTGAACAGCTGTGAGCGCTGCGAGACTCAGTCTGCCCCAGAAATGGGAAGCCTTAATCTCCACTGACCCTCTCTATCACCATCCTCTGGGACTTCAGCCACTGTCAACATCCTCAATCATAAACAAACACACACACACACACACACACACACACACACACCTAAACAGCCTACAAACACACAGACACACACACACACACTGAGATGAGAGAGATCTCAACATTTCCGTCTCTTCATCCTCATACCCTGTGTACACAGCTGTGATTCATGATCCAACAGTCATTAACATCAGTCTCTGCTAGTTTTCATGCCTGTTTCCCAACAGAAAACTAATTTTAAATTTTAACAAGTAATTTAATCAAATGTTGCTTTAATGTGAAAGATGATGCTTGTAGCGACAAACCCAAAACACACAACTTGGATGTTTTACTGAGCAGTTGCCCCTATCAGTGCAATGAAGACACACCAAACCTTTTCAAAATGGAAAATGCACAAAAAACCTAGAAATATCTCACCCAAATTGCAAACGTTTTGAAATATTAAATGTAAAATTGAAAGATTAAATGTAAAATTTTATTTTTAATAAGACTTTTTTACGACATGTATGTTTTTTTCCAGTGTACCCAAAACTCTGCGCATTGACTTGTCATATCTTGTGCTTGCGGAGGGGGGGGCTACTGGAGCTTGATGGATAACCCGCTCAGTCTCTGCCTGTATCTCTCATGCCTGGCTTGACAGCATAATTTCTCCACATCAGACGTAAAACTCCAAAATAAAGCAGAAACAGATGAGTTAGAAGAACTTCGCCCTGCTGCATCACCTTCATTAATTCACAGCGCACATTCTTACAGCGACACATATCATGAGAAAACTGACATCAAGGGTTCAGATTAACCCTCGAGAACGACAGGGGTGGATGTCTGACACAGCACGAGCAGTCTGAGATTGTTCGACACATCTGAAGAGTGACTGATGTGTGACGTGATGAAACTGAATTGAGATGCGGTGTGTCTTCCATTTTCCTCTGGGGGTTTAGCATCTGATCTAAAGTAACTGTCTTACACTGACAAGAAGATACAACGCTAACAATCAAATAATTCAATTACAACTGCCTCTGATTCAAAGTAAATCAATTAAATCTGTTTCAGAATAACTTGCTTTAAGTCAAGCACAATGTCTTACAAAGAGCAAACCAAAAGCAGCAGAGTCAAGAAAAAAACACTTAATATTTGTAAAAAATAACGTGTTAAACAGACAAAAGGCTCAAGTCAACAAACATGGATGTCTTCCTTGACTCGTCTGATTTTGATACGGCATTTTCAGCGATGTTGTCCCTATTTTTTAGTTTGTACTAAACCACTTCTCTCCGAAGAATGTTCGGTGTGGATCTCAAAGGTTTTTTTTTTTTTCAAAAACAGGTCAGCGTAGCCCCATGTTTCAGGTCATCGTTGAGCTCGGAGGGTTGAGTAACTGGGTCGAGTAAAGAGGGTATTGTAGGTGACAGACAATTTAAGACATGAAAGTAAAACAGAAAAAGGAAAGTAAAAAGAGTACAAAGGGATTTTGTTATTGTCCCGGTGACGCCTGGCAGCACTTTGGCAGGCCTCACAGTTGACTATGATACATGCTGACTCTGAGAGCCAGGGGTGGAGTTAAGGGCAGGGCGGTGGGTGCGGGGGAGAGAGCTTGGGCAGAGAGTTTTGGGCTGTAAGGTGTGAAGTAGTGTTTGGGGAAACGGGGCGAGAGGAAGGGACGACAGGGAGACAGGCAAACTGCAGTTGGCAGCAGAGGAGAAAAGGAAAGGGGATGGGTTTTTCTTTTTTTTTTTGGTTCAGAAGTGGCCGTGGTTGTGGCCCTGGCCCAGCTCTCCTCCGTGGTGCCCCCCCTCTCTGTGGCCGTGCCTCTTGTGCTTCCTGCGCTCCCTCCTGCCCTTGTGGTGGTGGCGCCGGTAACGGTGGGCTCGTCGGGCTGGTGGAGCAAACAGAGTGAGAAGAGCGAGAAGATGAAATGAGAGAAAAAGGCAGACGATTTATTAAAGAAGTAAGTCATAGATTGTGTAAGATGAAAAGCAAGATTGGGAAAACTGATGTAAGAGGGAGATGAATCACTGACAAGCATCTGAAGCATTCAGACAGATAGTCGGAGGGAGGTGAAGCCAGGTAAGAGGCGAGGGAAAAAGAGATCAAAAAGCAGGAAGGTCAAAACTACATGTTCTCTGTAGAAGGTTTAACTGTTTCCACCACACTGAGGGAATCTGTTATATCTCACATTCAGTTGACTGGGTGCCTTTAGCAAAAGCACACTGAACTAGCCACCCACTCACAGCCTCAGTAAAAGCTTGTTCCTGGGGTGTACTGCCAAATTAGGTTGCTCTGTCCCTCTCTGGATTCTGCCGACAAAGAAATGTCGTCTGCAATGAATGATAACGACAGTGTAACTCCAGGCCATAAAAAACAACTCTGTCTAAAGATAAAGAGTCATAAGAAAAATAATTCTTATCACTTTCAACAGAGGCTACATTATTTCAGCATTTCATCATTACTGTCACCGAGTGAAATGAAATACAAGGCTCAGTTTGTTGAATATTTATATATATCAACCCTTTATATTTCCTCTGAAGAAACAAGAAATTATGCAGAAAAGTTGTGACATTCTGTCTATTCTGTCAGTCGGAGTGAGTCCTTTAAGATGAATCAAATAAATAAAGTTTATTCTAAGGCTAAAAGGAGATACGGTGTATGGAAGCTGCATAATAAAAGACTGTTATCACTGATCTTAGGTGCTAAACTGCTCTAAAATAAGAGGTAGCTTCAACCATGAATGAAATACATTATAATTTCACTCCATCTAAAAGCCTCTATGGGCAAATGAGAATATTAACGTTTTTTTTTTTATACTTCAACCCTTTGTATGATATGGAGTATAAAAGTCAAATTTCACTTTGGTTGAACATTTTTAATGTTTAGCGGTCAACGGTCAACCAGTTGCAAAAAAAATAGTTGAAAAGGCTGAAAAAAGAATCCAACCTCAAGCATAAAACACTTCAAAGGAGATCCTATCACTTCTAAGTAAGCACAGGGGATTTTAATTCAGTCTGCAACCACAGTAATCTTTTTGCTTGCAATTATTAATAATGAGAGCAGGGATGGCAAGCCTGAATGCGCATGGTGACAGAAGCCCCCGAGGGCAGTTAATGTAAGAGTTTCGTATGGTGGTGTGCATGCTGAAAGTAAGAAAATGTAAACGTAAAAAAATGACCTAACAAATGGAAAGGCTGCTATAAGGCTTGTGGTCTGCCACCCCACTCTGTAAAAAAAAAACCCTGTTGTGTAAAACTCACATTTTATGCAGATGATTTTAGGCCGGTCCCACTTGCCGTTGGCACGACACTTAGCAGTGGGCACGTGGCGCTGCAGGAAGCCGTCGGCGCACTGGTAGCGCACTACAGAGTGGATGTCATAGTGGGAACGCTTCCGACCAATCAGAAAAGCATTATCCACAGTGGGTGGGGCTCCGCAAAGCACTGTAGGGGCAAGAGAGAGCAGGAGAATATTAATCAGAGTGTCCACTTCTGTTTATTTTCATATCCTCTTGTATGATACGTAAAGGAAATTCGTACAGGATAGAAACTTTAACCTGGATTCACCTTATCAGAGTGCTTGATTAAAACAGTTAAATGCCCCTAATGGTTTCTACATTCAGTGTTTATTCTGACTTCTGATGTTAATTAGGCACTCGCATCTCAGGAAAACGCTCACAGCACAAAACATCAAAATGTGGATTTATTGTCTGTGGGACAGCATGTCTGTCCAAGTCTGAGGGAGTGGGCGGCTGTCAAAGTAATACTGCGTTTTAGACACATAAAGAATTGAGGCAGAATCAGAAAAGTGTTTACACAAGCTGAGATGGAGAGAGGACTGACACATTGGTCAGAGACTGACAGGATGGACAAGCCTCAGGGAGGCACTCAAACAACTTCACAGATTTTATAACTCGGCTGTCAGGGTTTGCCAGTCTCCCCCGGTGGAGGCAGCAGGTGAATGTGTAATAACTCTGGGAGTACCTACATGGCGGTCCTGCAGCTGAAGCCCCAGCTCTTCCTGCCTTTCAACATAACATGCAACAAAATCATGGAAAGGTTTTCAGTTTCGAGTCACAACTACAAATTGCCAGTTCATCCGTGATAATCTTTGACTTAAAATAAGCTAGGTGGACAATTAAGCTGTTATTATTCATTACGGGGCCTGGTTGCTGAACCCATTATCAAACAGTGCTGGAAGATGCTAAAATTAGTCTATTGGGAAAACTAGTAACACCAACCAGGAACGTGAACGTCATGTTTTTTCTCATGCATGTTTCCTATTAGTTTCTGTTGTGCAGTGAAAAGTGCTGAAACTGCTACAATCTTCCACCTAACACACAGAAGTCTGCCACCATATTCACGGGGAACTGGAGAGAAAAATATGCTTCTTTATATTTCGGATTTGACTGATGTGTTTGTTTGATGAGCATCCCCGGTTTTTACTTTCTTCCTTGTCTGAAGTCTGTCCATCCTTCACTTTACATGTTGTTGTGGTTTCTAAATAAATGATGTGAACCTGAATCTTGCTAGCATCAGCATCATCTCGTTTTGTTATTGTTCGTATCATTGTTCACAGCAGACATTTTGACTTGTCATAGCAGGAAAGGTTGAACTAACAATGGTAACGATGGCCCTGGTCTGCTGATTTTTGCAATGCAATGCAGCAGTTAATCAAGTTATTAGTTACACCTGTGTTTTAAAGTCAAACTTCTGCTGTGAAAAAGGTTTATTCGACGGTTTATTCGACTTGCTTTTTCCCTTTGGTCATGCTATGGCTCTGTACCCTCCCATGGGTGTCCAACCTCAATTTTAGGAACCAATGCTCTAGTGTAATTACCCATTTATTGGGTAAATTTGGTTGGGTAGCAATATTGTTCTGTGCTCTCTTTGTGCAATTTCAACAGTTTTTGGCCCACCTATTAACACTCAGCATAAATGTACTGTATGTGCTTGTATCTGTGTTTGTGAAGGATCCTGCACTGTGTTAATTCATTACACCATGGGGTTAAAGTCCCTGTGTCTATTTATATGTTAGTCCTTTTTTTTAATCACAACCTTTTGTGGAGAAAACAAATAGCAACAAAGTAATTAGCAGCAACAAAATTGGGTGCTCTGTTTGTTATATATAACAAATAGGTCATCAAACTACCTAATTTAAGTATTCACATCTTGCACAACTATTCACTAAATGTGTATCATCTTGATTTTAACAGTTATAAAAATCACATTCTTTTTATTTTTATTTTGCTGTTATGATGGCGAAATGATTACACAGTGCATTACCATAACTGATGGCTAACAGTCTGAAGGGATAAGGGTTGTGGAAACCTGTTTGAGATGTAAAGAACTTCCATGCTGCCCCTATCCAAGGCACCTACTTTGCAAACACCAGAAACCACCACTGGTTCCACCTAATGTGATAAACACTGGTCATAAGAGGACTTAATCAGCCATCAGAAAATGTTTACAATCCCTCTTAATTCCCATGTCCTTGTCCTAATACCTCTTAAATTCTTAATAAGGGAAAGCAATGACATTAAGTCTGATGAAAGGTTTAATGCCACATTTACAGTTTAATGTGTTGTGGAAGGAATAAGCACTCCTCACTTGAGACGATCACTGACTCAACACAAATGGAAGGCTAAAAGGTAGTTTTCCATTAGCCCTCACCTATGTTCACTGTTGAATGATTTCTCACAGTGGGGGCCAGCAAAGTCAGAATGTACTGAAGTAGGGATAAAAGAAAATGTCACTAAACTCAGAAAAAGCAAATGGAGCTTTAAGTGAGAAAAGGTCTTTTGTAGAATAAAGCCTGAAGGACGAATAGGGCTGCTACCAAGAGAGGAACTAGATTTCTGAGAAAAAGCCCATAAAAATGTACTCTCTAAAATACTCCAAAGCTGCTTCTCATTCCTTTAAGCAGTGACTCAAAATTGTTAAAATACAAGTGTGGATTTATTTTTCTGGGTAAACCACTGATTGTTTAAGACTAAACGTTCAACCACTACTCAACCACTTCTGTGTGTGTCTGATAGCAGATGAGTCACACACACTGTCGGATATAAGGCAAATCACTTTGCTTACAAGATACCAGAGGCAGGAACAAGTAATTGTAAAAGTCCTAAACTTCGAGTTTCGAGTTCTGAACAAGTCATAATGCAGTTTTCACCAAATTAAGTGCCATTTTAACAACAGAGTAATGATATATTCGAGAGGCCATATTATGCTCTTTTTCAGGTTCATACTTTTATTTGGGGGTTGCTGCGTCTAGTTTAGAAAAATTTTATGTATGAGAAAAAGTATGAGAGGGAACCCGCAACACTCACTCACTTTGTTTAAACAGACAACAACGTTAGCTGATTCAGGAAATATATATGTAATGTGAAAGGAAACCCAGAACTATCAGAACTAACAATTATCACTCAACTCTGCAGTTAGCTCTACAGAGCATTTTAGCATCTTTCAGCTCATTGCTTTGGTTTTACGGACCCTCAGGAGTTGGTGGACACCAAAAACAGAGCTAGAGGAGAGTGAATATTGGACTAGAGGACCTACTCCCTCTGTAGAGAAGAAATGGCTCATTCTAACGAAAATACAACAATTCCTACATTCAGGTGATTAAACACTTACCTATGAACATACCTATGAATGTTATATTCAATTTCTGCAATTATATCTTTTTAAATGTAATAATAATAATAACCCTGGATGTTTAATAAGGTGAAAATAAGTTTTACATCTTGTCCTGCAGCCCCAAAGTTACTGTGAACAAATTAATATTGCTTTAAGAACATTCATCCACAGTTAATTGGATAGATACAGCTGGAGCTTAGACAGTGAGAAGCAAAAAACACTCTTTAAAAGTGTCTGGACCATAACAAGGGGAGAAGGTAAAAAAATACACAAGTGTCTGTGAAGAGATGGAAAACAAAAAAAATAGAACAAAGAATGTAAAGCTCACAGATGGCAGGTGTTATAATTTCCTGCAGCTGATTTAAGGTATGTTTTTAGCCAACATTAGAAGCTAAGAAGAAGCTATTTATTCATACACTTAAAAGCAGCATGTTTCTTGAGGCATTTTCTGTCACTGTGTGCCTGTGTCTGTGTGGTAGGGGGTAGTCAGTGTGAGTTAGCGGCATGGGGAGAGCTGCAGACAGTTAGATGCTGGTTCCTCTCAACGCTCCTCCTTGGCCTCAAAGCATCCGCAAACCTACTGCCAATCCTGTAACAAGGAATCAGAGAGACTTGAAAGTGCGTGTGCATTCTCTCTGAAACAATACTGGGAGTCTCACGAGGACAGTAGATGGGGATAAATTCAGTTCTGTTTATTAAATAACAAACTGCAGCAGTTGTTTGTGTGAATGTTTGCTGACAGCCCAGACTACCTGGGAGAAAATGGTTATTGAGTATTGACTTTTGTGTCCAAAATATAGGCATTAGGCAGTGAATAAAGAGAAAGAAAAAAGTTAGATGTACAGTAGGATTTCTTAGCATAAAGAGTGGAATCAGGAAAAAATCTCTACAAAATAAACACCAATTTATTTGTGTCTTTAGAAGAAATTATGCAGTAAGATTGTGAAAACAGTTTATCTGTCCGTCCAGCAGCAGTGACAATAAGGGAAGTCACACTCCATGCTGTTGTTTGCCAAGAAATGGTAACATGACATAACTCTAGGGCTACCACAGTGAAGGAATTTCCCTTGTGGTGATTTAAAGTTGCTCCACAGTGTCGTATTTCATTGATGTTTGTGGTTATTGCGACATAATAAGTTAATTAGTGAGCTTCAGAGGTGCTGCTAGCTGGATGTTTGAACTTTGGACAGAGCCAGGGTAGCTGTTTCTGCCTGATTTCCATATTTGTGCTAAGCTAAGCTAACTACAGCTCCATACTTAACGCACAGACATGAGAGTGGTATCACATCTCATTTGTCTGTCAGCAAGAAAAAAGCATCTCTGCCCCTGCACAAACCTCCCTGTCGAGGATGTAACTATCTGTGGCAGCTATGTCTACAAAATCATAATACAGGGTCCTGTGGGGAGTTCTGTAGCTGCTCACATGGGGTTGGTGAAGAGGACCTTCATTTTCTCTTTCCTGTTTGTGACTGGACATATTCATCTTCAGCACTAAACACAAATCAACATAAGAACTCTTCTTATATTGGATATATATATAAGAATTCTACTTGAGGGGCGGTGTGTACCTTTCAGCACAAACACACATATTTTACTTCCTTCTCCTGTGGCTTCTTCACACCCAGGTGAACCTGCCTTCTGAACAAATGTCAACTGTTTGAGGGGATTGTTCACTACACTAAAAAACTAAAACTAAAACAGATGCAGACACAACTGCAAACATGCACAGTAGCTGGGCGGGTAAATCACATAAATAAATAATCAAAATGCATTCCAGCAATGACAGTTTTACTCTACACAATGTGTATCCAACAGTGACTACATTAGACGCATTGGACACAACTGCTAAAGGCAATGACAACAGCCTATCATTTCCCAAAGCACTCTGTGAGCGTGCAGAGTATGTCATGCAAAATTAGATTTCCTGCCTTCTGTACGTAATAACCCATCAAAAATAATGGAATAATTTCATAATACTTACATGTCCTGTTGTGGGTAAATTCCCTCTCATCCTCGCTAGAAGAGCTCAGAGGCAAATGACTGCGTGACTCTCTTGTCACTATAATCCAAATGTAAATGTAACGATGTGTGCTACTCTTAAATCCATTTCTTTCTTTATCCTCCTTTAGACAGTATTGATCCAGCAATCAAATACTGCTTCTGAATGTTGAAGGGCCTACAGTAGAATATCACTCATCAATATAAAAGGGCAAAAGTCACTTATATATATTCTAACTTAGGAAAATTCTGAATTTTGAATGGCCTACAGTAGACCTCACATTATGTTTTTATGATCTGAAAACATCAAACAAGATGAAACCACACCAACACAGTGCATCAGTTGGAGGAGTCAGTTTAGATTTCTTTCTAACAACAGATATTTAGCAGGCTACATGGCTCAGGGCAAAGATTTCTGACAATTTAAAAAAAATATGTAAGAAATAAGAAGCAGGACCAAATCAGCTTCAATATATGTGTATTTAAGGATCGGAGGCTTGTGTGAGTGTGTTATACGAGTCTGGCTGTCTTTAACCCCAAGATCTGACCATCATTTCATCAGATGACAGTCTCGCCTCTTTTCAGTTAAATTAAAATAATATCATCACCATCTACATGACACACCATCCCGACTGGGCCCTGGGTGACTGATTAAGGTGTCCGATATGCTCACATGATGCCGTTATCGCATAATTAGACCCAGGGGTCGCTGATGAGCAGACAAACAGATCATAAGAGCTGAGAGCATTAGAAATCAGGCGGAGAATACTCAGCATGGGTCTGACAAACCCCACTCATAAGACAAGACATTACATGGGGTTACTCAAAGTGAAAAAGAGGCTGACGGGAGGAGAGGGGGAGAAGATGAAAAGATGCTAGTGATTGTAACTGACTGATTAAGGTCAGAGGTGGGCTGGATGCTGGGGACTTGTGACAGTGTGCATCAGGGGTGGTGCAACACCTTACTTGTGAGGGAAATACCTTTCCTTTCATACAAGAATAGTGCTGGCTGGTTCAGGAGATGTGCTTGTTGCCTGAAGGCATTAGAGTTATGTTCTCTATGCTTGTGGCCTCTGATGACAAACCATCTGTTAAAGCACAAGGCCTTTAAGGCTTTTATGTTAAGGCAGTAATACGCGATGAAGCGGGATGATAAGGGGAAGTATTTTATTTAGTTCTACGCAAGACTATAGGTAACACACCCATAGCTTAAGGGTTACAAAGCCAACCATGAATCACTTTATTTCCCTCTACTGTCTGTAATGAAGGCTTCAAATACCTCCCAAATATCAAATCAAATCAAATACCTCCCAAATATTTTAAACCTACCTGAAGATTTAAAAGCTGACTGCCTTTATACCTTCATACCATACCTTCATCTACCATCATCTATGTCCTTATATTATCGTATTACCGTATTATCTTATACAAATATAATGCAAATAGTGGGCTGAAACTTATTAAATCATATTCTGAACTACATATATTGCTTCAGTCAACATTCATCATGGAAAATATTTTGTTCAATCATTTCAAAAAAGGTTTTAGATCTGTGATCTAAAAGTGCAGGATTATTACTTTTATCCTTCCAAAATTTAACTTTTAGCAGCTTGATAAATACTTGCCCAGATATACGGCTAAAAGAAGAAGCTTGTCCTATTCAAAGCTGCGGAGGAAGTTTTGGTAATACAGCCACCAGTGGCTTCTTGTGTCTCTAGCTATTAATACGTCTGTCTTCTTGCCACCGGTCATGAGTCTGACCTGTATGCAAATGTGTGGCAAAAATAAGCTCTAATAGGCTCTCAGAGGAGCATGTGGTGGCCTAACTCCAGCGCTAAGAAGGGGCAGCTGCAACAGGGGACAAACAGCGGAGATTGCGGCGTATATAGGAACTTAACCAACCAATAAGTTTGCTCACCTCAATTTGCTGAGTTTAAGTTTCCTGGACATAAAGCAGAAAGTACTTTCTGCCTCAAGACGTACTTCACTTTCCTAGAACAGAACATTTGGCAAAGGGAATGGAGCTGTGATATGAAAGTACACCGAGAACTTTTAAAAGTCGAGCCGGAGGATGATGAGAGATGGAAGAAGGAGCGCTGGTGAGCTGTAATGAGTGTGAATGTGAAGTACGTGGACTAAGTGAAGAGGTTCAGTGCTAATCTCTTTCTCTGCACAGAGACGTGTATAATGTAAAGTATGACATACCTAGGATGTTCAGAATCCCTGAAGGTACATGCTGTCATTCTCTGTGGTTTAACAGAAATAGGCTGCAATACTTGTGAGCTGCTTTGCATTAAAAACTGTTTTAAAAACATTTTGTCACTTTTTCCCACTTTCTATCTTTTTTTTTCTCCACAGGATCAGTCTCACTCTGCCTCCTTCTGTCCGATTCCTCGCTGTCTCGGCTCTTTAAATCCGACCTCTCTCACTCCTCGCAGCCTCTTCCTCTTTTTCAGTCTTCCTCTGTTACATCCTGCTGCTCTCTGCCTCCTTACCTCTCTGTCAGTCATCTTAATCACCTGTTGAAGTTGCAGCATAGTCCATGCCACTCTCTCCTCTCCTCCGCTCTCCTCTCCTCTCCTCTCCTCTCCCTCCATCCACCTCGTTGTTCTCACCTGTTCCCTTCTTGCAGACGTAGGGCAGGTTGTAGTTGCAGGGCACGTCATTCCATTTGCCGTTCTCATGAGCAATCATAACCACGCAGTCCTCTCCTCCAGCAAAGAAGTTGTCTGGCTGGTTTTCACGCCAGTTCTCATATTGCTGAACACACACAGACAAAAAACAGACAAGCCTTTTTTTGAACTCCAATTTAACATCATTTTCTTGACATCATACACTAATCACTGATCACACGTCTATTTTTTTTCTTCCCTAATTTTATGTTTTGTCTTTTTTCCTTTTGATGTTGTCTGTTGTATATACAGTAATGATGGAAAATGAGAATACAACTCTTAAAGGCAACCTGTGTATTTTCAAGTGCATGCTGAAGATATGCTGTCATTATCAGTAAAGCTAAAAACGACATAGGAAAAAGTCAGGAAATATTGGGACAACAATGGAAAACAAATTGAAACTGCTGTTCAAGTGGTTTCCAGCTGCGATACTGGGCAAATGTACACAGTTTCTCTAGGGCCTCCGACTCCACTGGGAACGACTGCTGACTAAGAGACAAAGCAGACACAGCTGGTTACTCACCAGGTCCATCTTGTCTGTCCACTGAAAGTCGTCCTCCACTGTACGATCATTTAACCCAATCCAGGTGTTGTCATGGCTTAGACCTGAGTAAGAGGTTAATCAAAAATCAGACACAGAAGTTAATACAGAGAAAGAAAACAGTAGACAAAAACTTGACGTACTTTAAGGTAGTCCAAGAAATAGCACCAAGAACATTACAATTGCATATACAATCTTAACTAGAAACTTTGTATAAATGTTAATTAACACCTCTCTGGCATCCCTCAACAAAGAGGAAGTATATTTTACGTATTAAACATATTATTCAGATTTCAATCCAAATGTAGCCTGAATTATGCTCAAAGAATCGGCCTAAGAGTTAATGCATGTTTCCAACAACTGCTGTTACTCAGACCTTGAAGTGAGCGGCAGCAGGCACAGCTCCCTCTCTGGCCTCAGCTGAGAGATGAACAATAATGGAGATGTACTGTCGCTGATGCAGGGGTGATGAGATTTTTGGTTGTGTGGAAGGAAACATCACTAATAGTGTTTTGGGTTAATCTCATTTGTGCATTTGTGGACACCTCTGTGCACGGTCGTACAGCCGTTTGCATGTGCATGCAGATATGTAATGGAATTTCAATCATGGTGTATCTGATTAACATCATTACCAGGCCCATTAGTCTTTCTAATGGCTCTGATACCCTTATTGCAGGGGTGGATTTTCGAGGCAATTAAACACACTTTTTGGTAACTGTGCACATGCAGAAGAAAGATCGGTGCTGGATGGATGGCACCGTTCTGTCATCTGTCCGAGACAGAAGGTGGATCCAATATTACAGGGACTTGCTGCAGGTGATCTGGCCTTATTATGACACGTGGCTGTGGAGCACTGCCAGGGGGCAAAAAGCTAAGAATGAGGAGAGGAAGGTTTATGAGGCATCAAAGAATGACTATAGATATTCGCACGGTAATGCTGCCTGACTTGCAGTAAAACGTGTAGCAAAAACCATTTGCAAATAATTGAGGACAACATGTATAAAATATGGGTTTAACACTTGACAACCACTGAATCTAACAAAGAGTCTTGAAATCGTATTTTCCTATATGTAAGGGTGGAAAAATCTGACCAGATAATGTGACAATTTTTCATCTTTCTCACACAAATCAACTAAATTGAATCAAGTTCCATATTTGTCTTGATGCCGGCCTTATTTAATCTACTTTCAACATACTGACACTTGCATTTCCTTCAGTGGACAAAAATGGAGTTACCTCACCCACTGTAGGGATTTTTCACCTGTTTCAAGACAAATCACATCCTTAGAAAGAATATGATAATATATTAAATGTTCTGTCAAAGACACTTATGTCAGAGTCTATAGCACCATTTCATTGCAACAAATGGTGATACACATTTATTTGGCTGAACAGACTCAACTCCTGAGGGTGTTTTTCAGCGGGGAGCGCAATAAACCCCTTCAAAGGCCGTTCAGAACCAGACAGACATTTATCTCTGAGTTATGGAATACACATAAGGTAAAAGATGCCACTGCCAAGTATGGTAATAATAAGGTAGAGGAGTAGATATAAATCAACAGCTAGTAAAAGCAGTGTGTAGCAGGATAGCAGAGTGAGAGCTGGTTAGATATATAAAGGCCATGTAACTGTCATTATTTAAATTGATTGCTGGTGATTGGTGACTGTGGAGAATCACTAGATATTTCATGTGTTATAAAGTTGTGAAGCAGGAAAAGCCACTAGTTCCAGTATCTATTTTAATTACTTAAAGCTTTTTCCTACATCCTCAACATAGAAACAAGTAATGTGAGTCTTTGTGGATAATAGGGCCACAGTTTGGACTCAAACCCATGGTCGCTGCAGCAAGGACTCAGCCTTGGTACATTGGGGCCACAGCGCACCAGTTGAGCTACGAGGGCATGATGGTTGATGGTTGAACATAATGATTAAGATAGTTGTTCCTGCTGAACATTAATGTGTTAGCATTGTTATTGTGTTTCCATGCAACACTGCAGAAAATAAATAGGACTTTTACAGAATGGAAAGCCTGCATGCCCAAATTTACCTACCTGACTTAAGATTTCCTGCAGTGTAATCAGTTCAGGAAAAAAAAAAACACCAAGAAGGATTTGCATAGGCTGCACTGTCTGTGCCAAGTCTGTCCTCTCTTTCTCCTCAACCTCCACCCACCTCTGATGAAGTTTTGCTCAGCCGCACTGTGGATGCTGGCCAGGTGGCCGCTGTGCTCCCTGCAGTCCTTCTCGGCGTCCTCCCAGGTGTGTCTCCGGCTGAAGTACCTGTAGCAGTGGCCGTGGAACTTCCTCCATGTGTGCTCGCAGCCCTCAGTATCTGCAGGTGTAAACAGGGGGATTTGGAAAAAGGAAGTGGGAGGTAATTGAAAAAGACAGTGGTTAGTCAATGGAAAATCCACGTGGGAAGAGTAATGTGGGTTTTTTTAATCATTAAACACCCACAGCCGACAGATGCAAAAGAATAATAGCATTGCAAAGGAAAAGGAGTGGGAGGGTTTACAACTAAGAAGATATGACTATTTTTATAGTATTTTTTAGTATTTCTGTTTGTCCGCACACAGGATTTTTTTTCCTGTCTTGTGGCGCAAAATATCTACATATTGTTTCCCCCTTCCTGTCCCTCTCCTCCTTGCTTTCTTTCTTCAGTGCCATCTTGCTTTAAGTGCCCTCTGTGACACTCTCCATCCCGCCATCTCTCTCTCTGTGTCTCCTTCTCTTTGATTTGACTTGGTCTTTTAATCCACAGCGGAGGCAAGCCGGCGGTGAGACAGCTTAGTCCAGTGAAAGGGCGTTTTAATCTATTCAAATGACAACAATCCTTAGAAATTGCTTCCAGTGCACAGCGCTCGCTTGGTAATTAAGCCCTGTCACAGTCCTGTCAGCACACCGACTCTCCCTCCACGCATCCCTCCATCCCATCCTCCTTCTCTCCCTTCATCTCTCTCATCTATCGCCCCTCATCTGACTGGGGGTTAGCCGTGTGACTGGGAGCCGTACATTTCAAATGTGATGTGCGGTTGTGTGCATAGATTTGGGTGTGCGAATGTGTGTATAACTGAAGAGTGGAAATGTATGTATAGTTGATGTGGTTCAGGCTCGATCTGTCAGCTAAGCCACCTCCAGTTTCTCCTCATCCTCACCCCCTCTTGTGCCCCCTCCCTCCCTCCCTGCCTCCCTCCCTCCCTGCCTCCCTCCCTACAGTGTAGGGATCAGGGAAAAGGCCTCAGCTTTTCCTCCAACAAATCTGAAGCGACACCAGTAAATTGGGCGGTGCAAATTGGGCCGTATGGGGCCCTGCTTAGTATGCAGAGAGATGCGGTTTTGGCCGTGGAAAGAAAAAGAGGAGATGAGAGGAGAGGAGTCCGTTATGAAAGCCCTTCTATACTGTAATATGAAATAAGGGTCTCGAAACCTTCATACTGCATTGACTGTGTAAGTGTTTTTTTATACTGTTAAGCTCTCCTCCATTCACTATGTTGTTGAGGTTTAATGCTGTGAAGTGCAATGACATCATTTCACAAAACACAATGCACTGGCTCATAGCACGACTGCCCCCTCAAGTGAAGCTACAGCGAGGTTTTGCAAAACTCTCTCAGTCTACTACTCAATATAGTTGCTAATTTTACATATTACTATATTCTCTCTCCTGGGGCTGTACACAAATGCCTCCAGAAAGTGCAAAAGTGATAAATACACTTACTGACAGTGAGCAATGATGATGAGCAATGTGGAAGAAAAACACGCAGTGTAGCATGTTACAATATATCTTGTGCTCAGAAGGTAATGTCTTTGTCATGTCTCATACAGTAAACATAAAGCTCTGGCAGGTCAAAAATCAGACACAGATGAATGCGTAACCATTACAACATTCCCACATGCACGTTGGCTGCAGAAAGACGGAGAGAAGAAGAATGAAGAATGAAGAGAGTGATGTTTGCATATATTTGGGGAATTTATGAAGGCAACTGTCTGTCCAGCTTTATCACTCTTTGATGCTCTGGTGAAATTTAACACTGTTTGAAATTCAACATTCATTCACTGGCCTCTGTGACAGGCAATTCAGTCCCATACAGTAGGTCTGCTGGAAATGGAGTCCTATATACAGTAATGAAGCAGCCTATTAACTCTTCTTAGTTTAGTAAAAATGGGTTTGACTAGACTTGATGACTACATACTGCAAAAGAGGATCCTGCATTACGACATGGATCAACAATTATTCACAAAAATTTCTTAGCATTTCTTTACATATAAAATGAGGTTTATCACATTGGGGACATTTTGAGAACATAAATCCATGTCAGTCACATAGAAAATTTGACAAAACTGACAAAACTGATGCATTTCTGTTATTCATCTGCCTACGCTGAGTTTACAGAGTACTAAATATTATTAGACCAAGATCTGCCACATACACAAACCACAGTGGTGAATCACCACCTCAGGGTTTGCTTTAGTAGTGGTGCTGCTTAAGCAAATGCATGTTGTGTCCCTAAAGTAACAGGCAATTGATGATTTTTTTCCTGTATTTTAATCAAAATAATACAGCAAAATATGAGCTGTCATGTTCTCTCTGCACCAGACAATTAGTTTGTTTGTTCGTCTTATACCAAAGCTTAGTACCTCTTCAACTTCCACTCAGATAATCATTGGGATTACTGGATTGCTGCCTTACCGCTACTCTAACTTGATCAAGTCATGTCTTCTGAGCAGTGATGTAAGTTACCATGACTATTGTTGTAAATGCAAATGTGGAGAATTGCTTCATTACTTTTGCCGGCCAAAGTTTCTCCTGGTAGTCTGGGGATTTACTCTGATGACCTCGAAACACGCTAATGACATGAAACCCAATTAGCCACTTTAACATTTTCAGACTCCTCTAAATGGCTCAGTGGCTCACTGGTTAGCCCTGTTGCCTTAACAGTAAGATGAACTCAGGTTTAACTTCCCATTCGGACTGCACTCTTCATTTTATAATAGATTTCCTTTTAACAATGCATAGTGAGAATCCTTATCTACTTCTGAATATGAGCACAGTATGTGTCTATTACACTTGCAATCACTTGACAGCAAGAAATCATACATATTAGTAAAGTTTAGTAAAGATGGTTTCATTCTGACTTTGGAGATAAATTTAGCTTATTGCAGTTCGTAATGTACAGTATGGCTGTCTACATCAATATAGTAGGAACACAAAGCTGTCACTATACTGTGTCTCTATGTCTTTTACTATGCTTTATTCCATCAACATTAGGATTTCTGCATATTAATTGCCTTCTTTTTCCAAACTAATTCATTTTGCATTGAGCATTTTACATTTTACATACAGTAATACGTTTCAGGATCTCCAAGACCCTGATTAAGACTTTTATTTATAATAATTTTCTACTAATGTTTACACTGTCCTGATTATTGGAAAGGTGCATCTTATGCAGGACATTTTCACATTTTCACAGGAGACTGACTGTGTTAGAATCAGCATTTTGCAGCCATACTCCTCCCTGTGGCACCGACAGTGTGCTTCTTAACTGAGAGCATTAGGGGGAACGATGTTACTACTGTTATCTCTGGTCTTATGGGACCAAAACCACTCGCTGCTGCTGCTGTAATATTCTCCTCTGCTGACTGCTAACTTACTCTTTCACTCTGTCATCAAACCTGGAAGCTACCTGCTCAAAATGTTTGCCCACATGGCAGCTGGTACATTGTATTAGCATTGGGAGTGGGTCCAGTTTGGCTCATGAAGGTGGACAATGGGTTGTTATCTACAGGAACAGGGACAGGAGTGTCAGGGTAGGTGTCACAGAGACAGAAAAAACACACACAAATACGCACATCTATAAATTAAACATACACGCCTTCATTGAATCACACACTGACTGCTGTGAAGTCCAAACTGGCAGTCTGCCCAGAGTGTGTGTGTGTGTGTATAAGTCCTAGCGCTAACGACATTAAAGCCTTTTAAATGGCTTTAAAACAGGAACTACAAACTACTGTGATATCTTCTTTGGGATTTACATACATACAGTATGTAAAGCAACTTGGTGTCCAAGGAAGATAATAAACTAAAGACAGACAAACTAAATGTACCAATCACACAAGATTCAGGGTGGGAGGACAGAATCAAGAAAGAGACAGAATAAGTAAGTGAAAGAGTCGCAGAAACAGAGAGGGAGATAGAGAGAAAGAAAGAGAAGCAGAGATAAAAAATAAACAGGCATGTTTTCTCCCCCTCAGATCTTCAACCTAGTCTCTGCTGATTTCTTCTCCCACTCGCTGACAGTGAGGCTCAAAGCCCGACATCACATCAACCTCTTCAAATATTTAGACATTATTCAAGTCGTCGTCTTTTTCCCGTTTTCCTTCTGTCAGGCGGAGAGAGAGGTAGGGGGTATGTTTCAGCGATTAATATTCCCACAGACTTTAGTGAGCTGCAGTTAGGAAATAAAAGGCCATACACTTCCAGCTGACTGATTGGGTCGTTTATCCACATCACCAAGTGATATTTCTACTGCGCAGATTTTTAAGATCCCCTGAATGATGAAACAGTGTGTGTTTGCACGTGAGCGCACTGCCATTTTGCCTCCTCCCTGCGTGACTCTTTGAAGGCTGACAGCTCAGTGTGCCATTTGCAGGAGGGCAGATGACAGCAGTCCAGAGAGAGAGGAAGTAAGTGAGGGAGAAAAAGAGAGAGAGTGAGAGACATAGAAAGAGAATATGCTAACAGCCAGAGACAAAAGGTGAGAATGTGAGGAGACTGTGAGAACGGCTGTGGAATTATTAATGGTTATTATGAGTGCAGTGTTGATTAATGGAACATCCTAATAGTGTGATTCTCACAATTAGGAGTAATGGATGGTACAGTAAAACAGCTACAGAGTGCAACATGAATGAGTGATGCCAATCCAAAGGCTCCTTCTACATAATTAGCCCATAGACGTGTCTTTGTAGATTGATGCTGATGGAGGAGGTAAAAGGGAGGGCAGCACAGGCCCTTACAGTAAATAGGCAAAAAGTTGGACCAGTTTATTCAAACAGACTGTTTGTAATTAGTTTAAGGTGAGTACAGCACACAATACACATTTGTGTACGTCCAAGGTCTGCAATGTTCTCTCAGTGTGCAGCTAATGTAAAGCACACAAGAGTGAACACAAGTGATAGATCCTTCTCTGTGCGTTCAAACTGCCGAGGGATGGGTTAGTCTGGCACAAGGACAGGAGGTGTGGGAGGCTGTTAGTCTCTACCACAAGAGGAGAAATCAGTATCTCAGAAATAGCGTTATTTACATGTTGTGTGGTCTTAGCTATATGTAACTTGTCA